CCCCACCCCAGTTTCCGAATCCTACACCTTGTTCTGTTTTTCATCTGCTAAATGCCAAATGTGCTGTGCTGTGACCCTGGTCATGAGGTTCTAAGTGACGGCAGCCTCCTCAAACGATCCCTGAGTAGAAAGTGAGACACCGTGGCACCGGAAAACCTGAGGCAAATGGACTTATGGGACCAAAACGTCACTGCTGAACCGGACCATGATTTCTGAAGGTGTATCAGTGCTCATATACCAAATATTTAAAAACAGAATCAGTCTAAAACTACAATGAAAATAAATAAGCCAGGTTTCCTACACTACATACCAGTAGGCCTACACACGACAGGTTTCTAAACCCACATGACGTCATCCATTATTGATTTGTTCATATGTCACTACTGTAACGGACAAGAAGCAACAGAACAAAGATGTTGAACTTCTCGTCGGGGGTTTGCTATTCAAGTGTTTGTCTCCACCCAGCGGTCGCGACGTGGAATAGTTATTTCGAGAGACACTTGATGCCGTAACAAGATTATTCGGGCCACCTACATTCTGAAATCCCCACGGGACACGGACAATTACATGGAATGACAATCTAACTTTGCATCTTATTTTAATAATTAGTATAAGGGTGGGAGACCTAGATCGGCTTCTTAAATTAAAAATTGATCAGTGTTTTCTGCTATAATCTGAAAACTGTTCTTAGCGCATTTTTAATAAATGAAGCGTCAGGGATCGTTGTTAAGAACTATGCTTTATTATTTTTGTTTACTTGACTGAGAATAATTAAACCTTGAAAGAACAAGTGTAGTTTGAGCTGCATGCAGACAGCATACGAACGAACAATTTCACATTCTTAATGCATGAACTTTATTAGGATAAAAAAAAAAAAAATTCGCTCCGGGATTGACCGGTTACCTGAGAGAAAGAAGGAAGACTTTAAATTTATAATTACAATTGCAGCTTTATAATGACGTAAACATCACCAGTGATTTATCCTGCATCTTAGGTATTTTAGACAGCATGTTCATTCACCAACGAATAATAAATTGCTTGAGAAATAATTCACTTTTACACAAGAAAACTGTTGCAGAAATGAGTATGACTCAATGTGTGCATTTATTAAAATGAAGAACCAGGCACAAGGGTTGTTTTTTTTCCCCACAATTTAATGTTTAACATAAAAAAGACAAACTCTTCCAGGTATGAAAAAATAAGACTGAAATCTCAAATCAAGTGCACTTTGACAAACATCAGTGTCTTTGTCAGCAGGAGAGGTTAGAGGTTAACATAAATCAAATATATATATAAATTAAACTTCATTGTAAGGCTTCAGGGCAGGGTGTTGGATCAGAAAAACAGAAAGATGAACTGTGTGCCGTGAGCTCTGAGCCAAAGCAATGAAACACCTTCAAGCTGAGCCTGGGGGACAAAGTATCAGGAAACGGATTCTTCTAAAATATCTAGTTCCTCCAGGAAGGTAAACAGATGCTTGGGATATAGGAATTGGGGGACAGGATTAGGGGAAAGTTATGGAGACTCTTGTGATTTTATCAGACCAGAAGAGCAAAAATGCTAACAAGCCGCTGTGGCTCTAAACAAAGAACATACCGGCATGAAAATAGCAAGGAGCATCAGAACCAAACTACATCACTTCACCCATCCCAGTGGGTCCTGCTATCCCATGCCGGGCAATCCATTAGGCGGCCGACTAGGGCACCAACAAATTAGCCAGCCTATTTCACTTTGTCTCAGGGGCCAGAGGCGAGGTTTATCCATGTTGCAGCACGGGCTACCAACGGTAGTGCTGTTACCCCTCACCGCAGGAGAAATGCCGGCTTACGTCATTAATAATTCATTCATTATTAATCAATAATTAGCATCTGATTGCAGGAAAGTAGAGGGGCCTGATCCCTGACCTTTGCACCCCTCCCTGTCCTACACAGACACAGGATGAAAGCTGCAGATTCATATTATTTTCTTCTGCCTGATTATTGTGTGGAGCGGTTGGTCAAGGGAACAGGCTTGCTTGTGCTGACTCAGCCCACGTTTCGCTAATGTTTATTTAATGATAGGGCAACGCCGAAGGACTGACTGCTTCTGGGCAGTGGGGCTGGTTGTGCAAGAAATGCCCCAGAGCTGCGGGGGCTCAGCGCAGAACAGGGAGGCGTAAACGGCGCTAATCTGACTGCTACATTAATCACACAGAGGTGGAGCACGTGAGATGCCGTTCCTGGTATTTATGAGGGTATGTGTGTGTGTGTGTGTGTGTGTGCGTGCAGGCAGATTTTGATGCGCACAGCAAAGATATACAGATGCAAAACAAGAGATAATCCAATCCATCTGCAATATTCCTTGCAGACAACCACAGGAAAAGCAATACAATGCTTTCAGCAAGTGCTACATATCACGTTACAAAGAGACTATAACAAGTGAACAGGGGAGGCTAATATTTTGACAGTCTGGCATGAACATTTACCATGATTACAAAGATGTTCTGGGTGTGAGCATGCAAAGAGAATAACAGGAATACTCTTCTGTCAAAATGATGGAGTACACGCAGAACCGTAGGAGCAGAACACGAGGAGAAATCATAGAAACCCGCTTGCCGTGGATGTATCGGGGCTGCGATCGTTCAGCGAGACGGGAAAGGAGCGACCTCGGTGGAGCGGCGCAAACGTCTCGTCGGCGTAGCCGCCCGCTGGCTTCAGCGGGGCTCGCCATCTGACACACGGCAACGTCCAAGGGCAAACGCCTTCATGCGTGACGCGAAGCCAAAGGAGAACGAAGGAGAACAGAAACAAGCGGAAGCTGCTCGACAGAAGGGGGCGGTATTGCCTTCACCCATCGGCGGGGGATCATTGCAAAGGGTCAACGAACATTTATGAAAGTTGACTTTAAATGCACACAACACAGTAGGTTTGTCCTATTAAACTTAAACTAATCAGTCATTCGAAACCTCAGGCCAAAATCAGCACACTGATTCTGCAATTCAAGGCAGGACGCTTAAGGAATGATTTTCTGCTATATATTCAAATATAGCTTAGGGTTCTCCAGACAAACAGAAGTTTCCTCTACACCTTTCTGTCACTCAGCTGAATGTGCTGACTGCGGTGCTCAGGGCCAACAATGATGGAATGAATTCTGAATAACTTTCCTGGCTTCTTCAGGTGGCAAAAATCCTTTATTAAATACACGTTCTTGCTTTTCTAATAATGTTCGAAAGTTCATTAACTGAGTGGCAGGGTTTTCAGCCTTAGACACCTATATAATTTTGTATATATAATTTTATATATATAATCGAAGCAAATGTTAAGCTTATAAATAACCACCACCTCCCCCCCAGTCAGAGTACTTCTGCAAATGTTAGTGTTATAAATAGGTTCTCCCCACCCTCACAGCAGCACCAAATGGGACTGGGGTTGCTCACACTACAGCCCCCGGGACCCACCGAACAATCACATGACACCAAGCTGCGGCCCAAACCCACGGCCTCCGGATGACTGCTCGGGGACACCCCGCGGCACGCTGAGTCATCCTAAAGAGAAGATTCATTACTAAATGTCATGCAAGATAAGAATGGTGGCGGCCATTAGCGGCCCGTGTCCGGCGTGAGTGAAACGCCACGACTTCAGGGATGGGGTCCAGTGCAGAACAGGCCTGGGAAATTGCGTCTCTACAGAGAGATTTATAGCAGCGGATGCTTTTATCCACATTATGAGCCATCAATCAACCTTTCCCATGCATTCCTCCAGGAAAGACAGAGGTAAATGATGCCCGTTACTTGAATTTATATTCTAAAGTCTACATACTACTGATATATATAGAACACACTCAGGAAGAGGATACAGAGGAATAGCGGAAACACCTGGACCTTTAGCATATTGATTAAATAGTCACTCTGTGAAGCACGTTTTAGTATTGGTGTTAGTGTAAATCAACACAAAAATGAATTAAAAATACTGAAGAGCATTCATATATATCAACGTTATATTTGTGTAGATATCTAATGAAGTCTTGGCTCCCTGTTGGCTCCTTCACTTTAGCAAAACCCCCTCCGGTGGATATGAAAATGCCCCCAGGCTTCGATCAGAGCTGAAATCACATCTGACAACCGAGATGGGCAAAGCTGGCCAATCTCCAAGCAGCTTGGCGCCGGGCATCCAGTCCGAGCCGAGCACGTGCCAGCGGATGTCAGCCGGCACTCCGCTCTCCTCCAACGCCGTGGTCATCCGCACGGCGGAAAGGTCTGCGATCCCCTCGTTGAGGCAGGGTGGATGAAAAACATAAAGCGAGCTGAGAACATCCAAATGGGGCCATCCGGACACAGACACTGTCACCTATCAGCCGATGGCACGTGTCCGTTTCGTTTAAGTCAGACACTTGCGCTCCAAGCCACGAGCACCTACTAGACGTATGGTGTTAGGTCAAGGTCTCTGCTAAAACCATGGCGGCTAGCTTGATATGCATAGAAACGTCCCTTACAAAAAGCCTCAGGACTCAACTTCAGCAGCTGGCAGTATGGTATGGCAGGCCGGGTACGCAGTGCGATGGCGAGTAAGACACCTGACAGTCATAAGGCAAGGACTCAGCGGAAGTGGGGGACAAGTGTTCCATCATTTGGGGCCGGTCACGTCCAGTGGCGGCCGATGGGCCCTGACGGATGGCAGTGACTGGCAGCCGACCGCGAGTCCTGCACTGCCGCGAGTCACAGCACTGTAGATACGTTATATCTTAAGGGCGGTTGCGCTGGGGGGGAGGAGGGGGAGGGTGCACCAGGAAACTGCTGCATAAAATTGCATTAAACATGGAGCTGGGCGCACTGGGTAAGAGTGGGTCACCAAGGCTGCATCAAAGCCGGGCGCTTCGTGCTGCCAGCAGGAGACTGCGGCTTTTCCCCGCATGCGACACCCGGAGGCTACCGGAAGGTTCCTGAAGGACTGACACTGCAAAGCAGCAGCAGCCAGGAAACCCTCTTCAAAGCAAGCTTAAGACCTCAACCGGAAGAACTGTGAGGGGGGGGGGCAGGCTGGAGCGAGACAGAGGGAGTCCAGCTGACCTTCCAGGTGGAATGCGATTGGCTGTGAGTATAGGGGCTGATTCTGCAGTCACATGCAACCACACAAGGGGCAGTAAGATAAGGGGAGGGGGGTGTAAAATCTCATCCGGGGGGGGGGGGACCCAAAACCATGGCAGTTAAGGGAAAGCACTCTTTCAGCCTTTAAACCACAAGCTTCTCGTGCTTTCAAATAAAAGACCCATGTATAATGTGTCCCTTGTCAAAATTTGAAAAAAATTCTGCTCAGTTAACATTTTTTGAACAGTGGGCAAAAAAATTTTAGTCACAGGGAGCTTTTTCTACCCTGAAATGACCTGAAAGATCCTTGGAGGATGCTTGTGACTCAGTATGAGGTGGAGATTCCTCGATGGCACAGACCTGGCAAAATCAGGGCGAAAAATGGCTCAGCTCTTTAGTATAACAGGGTCACTGCAGGTCAGTGGCAGCTAACTCTCTTCTGAGAGATTTCAGACAGGTCAGTGGCAGCTAACTCTCTTCTGGGAGAGATTTCAGACAGGTCAGTGGCAGCTAACTCTCTTCTGGGAGAGATTTCAGACAGGTCAGTGGACATTGTACAGACGGCATTTATTTATTTATTTTGGAAATGAGCTTTGACATCATAACCATCTGTTAAAAGATGGGACAAGGTAGCCTGGTTATCTGTGGCAGTGGGCAACTCTAAAGTTATTGTGCTATTCTTCGATGATTGCATTGACATAAATACACCATTTCTACTATATGGCTGGACTGGTCTCTAATCTCATGCACGAAAGACTCTGAAATAAACAAGCTTTAAGGAATACTGTCAACTGCTAGCTGCGGTAATCACGCCAGCCAGTTAGCAAACACCCACATCGGATCCTATGTTAATACAGCAAGTTCTGGGAAATTAGTGCTGGTTTGCGAGGAGTGTGGCACTCTCACAGAGATGGCTGGGAGGCAAAGCTTTCCAAAAGACACGCCATTTGAAGCTCCAGATGGATTTCCCAGCAAAAGGTGTTTCTGAGATATCCGTTCATCTCACACAAAAAACTGGCAACTCTACACTTGGATTTATATATTTATATATAAATTATATAATATTATAATATATGTGTGTGCGTGTGTGTGTGTGTGTCTGTAATGCCTAGACGCCTTAAAAAGGAGCAGGAAACCAACAGGAGGCCTTCAAAGCCTGGCAGTGGGACACCTTGTGGACACAGGAACGAGGGGGATGGGCAGGCTGCGGGCGCATGCACCGAGAGCTTCCCTCATTGGCTCCCCGCTGTTCGCATGGGCGGGGCTTCCTCTTGACAGGCCAGCAGGTGAAGTGAAGGGAAAGGGGGGGAGGGGATGAAAGAAGGTGCTGTCATGGTGATTGGTGGGTATGGGTATGCCACGTAGATGACTGGGGGTGCACTGGCCTGGCTAGGGGCTGGGATGTGACCCCCCCGCGGGAGGCAAAGTACGAGAGATGGGGGGGCTCTCATTTAGTCTTTAACTTGCCCTCTCGGCCAAGGCGCTCGTTCAGCTGGCACAGCTGCCTCAGGAAGCCGTCATTGGGGCCGATTTCCCGCTTCTGCCGCACCAACGAGAGTGCGGTGCGAACGTCCATCTTGTGGCGCAGCATGAGGTAGGCGATGACCAGCGTGGGCGAGCGGCTGTAGCCTTCCCTGCAGTGAACGTACACCTTCCCTGGTGGGAGAGAGATCCCAGCGAAGGATCAGCAAATCTGCCTAGGCAAGCAGCTCCGGAGCCAGCAGACGAAAATGTAGCCATGACCTCAATAACAGATGAGCAATGTCGACCGAGGTCGACACCCCCCCTCTGACACTTCACTGCCCCCCTCCCCCTTTCCCACGCATTCATTATCGACCCCTTGCCAACCCCCGAGGAATTCCTCTCGCCAGGTCTTGTGCTGCTCCGCAGCGTACCCGAATCCTCATGTTTCTGGAGTCGAAGCCTTCAAAAGACCACACCCCCCTACAGCCGCCCGACTCCCGGACCCCCCAGGCGGTGACCCGCTATAACCAGGATGCTACCCCGCTGCCCTCCTTGGTAAGACCAATCCAAAAGTATGTTTGTTTCAGTGCTGATTTACTACCCCGGACTCCTACTGCCAGAAGGCCGGGAATTAAGACGCTCCATAATTGCTTTTTTGTGTCAACGATGGGCATAAAATCCATGCAGATAAATAGCCAGGTCCAGGCTTGTGTCTGCACCAATTAATGGCATCGTTCTCTGACTCTGATTGGATGTAAATTCCAGAGTGGGCACCCAGAGCCATCTCGCCACTCCGAAAGTGAATCTCCCCCTCCACTGTACAGAGAGGAATGCTTCCAGTGAACCCGCAGTGAGTCTGTATATAAGATGATCCTGCAGATGCTGTTCCTCCTCTTGAAGCATTGCACCCATTTCTCCTACAAAGGCTGAAGCCAGGATCGTAGGAGGTGCAGGCTATGCCTGAAGGCCTCTTTGTTCCGCTATAAATCACACCCAATTTTTTAAAATGATAAACAATCTGGACAGACTCTGCTGGAAAATGGGCTACTCTGCCTCCTTACTTTTCGCAAAAAAAAAACTGGCCGATCGTGTCTTGCGAAAACTTCATAAGCAAACTGACAAAGACTTTGTTTTGGTTTGTGGAGGTGACCCAGCCTGTTGCCCCCACTCCCCCCCCCCCCCGAACGACAATGCCAGAGTGACGACGTCTGGGTTTATGAAGCAGTAGCATGTGCTTAACGCTTCAGCAGTAATGTTTCTTTATTCTCAGCACCGTATCAGGTGTAGCCTCCCTGGACAGACCCCTGCCCCTGGAAGGCCTACTGCAGCGTGGAGAGCCAGGCTTACCCTTCCCGTCCTTGTAGGCCAGAGCCTTGTCGATGAAGTCCGCACCCTCCTCGAAGAAGGCGCTGAGGTCGAAGTGCTCCGTGTCGTTGGCCTTCATGCCGTGGTAGATGATGCCGGTGCCGGCGTAGAACTCGGCGCTAGTGTTCACGTGCATGAAGGAGTTGCCCTCAGCCGCATTGAGGATGTGCGTCACTCCCAACCGCCGCAGTCTCATCGAATTCTGAGCCACGAACCTACAGGAGGGCAGAGAGAAACCACTAAGCGGAGTCCGCAGGGAAGGAGAGCGAGTAGCAGCCTTCGCACAGGAAAGCCAGGACCAGAGAGGGACCAGGAGAGGTACTGCGTGCACATTCCTGGGGACAGTACTCAGCTTTAACCTGGGAAGACAAAGGCTATTAGACAGCTGAAAAAAATGGACACTAGCAGACAAAAGTTTTTGCACACACTGAGATTTTCTATACTTGCGTGAGACTCACTTAACAAAAAATACACACAATATTCTTTGCTAACAAATAAATTTACAGTATGTTCACCTTTTGAGTACCTTTATTAGCAAGAAAATATCATCTCTAGCAGTCATAACAGCAGAGAAAATTCAAGACATTCTTTCCACAATGGACTTTAAATACTGTCCTGTTTCATGGGATGAAACAGTTAACTAGTGGATTTAAAGTTAAAGGACAGCCTAGAATTAGACTATGCCATCATCATACAACCAGTTAATAGGATGTCAGACAGGCAGTGTTAAATACTCTTTCCATGTTATAAAGGAAACTTGTTTTATTTGACTATTTTCATTTATAGTTGTTCACTCAACTTTCCAGTGCTTAACAAGAATAAAAAAAAATCCGCAGTTTATGAAATAAATTGAAAAGTGGTAAAAACCTTGGTGTGGAAATGCTTTGGACTGGCAATGTAACTGGCTGTCATCAGGGCTGAGTGTAGGTCAGCAGGGTATTGGTCTGCGCCCATAACCAGAAGGCTGTTGATTCAAATCCCAGCATCAACCAAGTAATCGAATCACTGTATCACAGCCTTCAACCCCAAGTGCTCCAAGGACTGTCTGACCCGATCCTGGAAGCTACCGGCATGAGGCAGGGAACAACCCAGGATGGGGTGCCAACCCATTGCAGGGCACACTCACACACTATTCACACCTACGGATATTTTGGCAACTCCAATTCAAAGAGGATTCCAGAGGAAACCCCTCAGGGAGGAAATGCAAACTCCACACAAGTAGAACCAAGTCTGAGATTCAAATGTTCAGAGGTGTGAGGCATCCATACTAGCCACTGCACCACTGCATCACTGCACCACTGCACCACCCCCATTTGGGAGCCACTTATCAAATAATTTTAATCTCACAACTACTTACAAAACAAGTTTTACTGGACAGCCAGTCCCATGTGATTTACTGCTTTATATAGTAAATCTTCCAACACACGCCATTCCTCAACTCCCTTAAATCTAACAGAGCATTTTATACCAATACTAATAAAATAAGAACCATGATACGTTCAGCTGTTTCGTTCAATTGTTATGTTGAAGCGTCACATTTAAATTTTACACTAGTGGCCAAAATTGTGGAAACACCTGGAATTTTTGGCATTACGCTTTAAAAATTAGTAAACAGATATCGGCGGTAATGTTTATAAACAATCAAAGAATGTTACAAATATCATACATTGGACAATTAAATAAGTAACTGGAGCAACATTTGAATTAAATTCTGCAATCTCTAAAAACTGGAAGTGCTTCCACAATTTTGGCCACTAGTGTATCTTGACTGTTATATTCGATTATGTCAAACCATTTTGCTCAACAGTTGTGTTAAACCATAATGAAAAAGTCCACTATGCTAAATATACTCCACCCCAGAGACAACTATTTTTAACCAGTCAGATTTAATTTGCAAGTTACATATATGTTTAATTTCTGATATAGCTGATATATCTTCCATAATGACTATAGGGACAGTGAGCGTTGGGCCTATTGCAGGAAGAGCAAAGTCCAAGGCTTGGGACATCATAGATGGGAGAAAAGTTCAGCGAAGGCCACACACTCAAACACTACGTGAAGTTTACAGACACTAGGTGTTTCTCAACATCAAGAATGCAAAGATCGTACTTGTAGTCTTGGCATGGCAAGACCGGTCTTGCTAACTTGCCTCCCAAGAACGAACTTGGGGGCACAAAGAATCATGGGACTGATCTTGTTGCAACCAATGTGTCCTTTGATTATTTGGGGTGGGGCAAGAACGACATCTGGAGATTTTTACCATCCTCTGTACCTCTGTTCATAGTATTGGAACTGGTCTTTGGCAAAGGCAGATGACGTAAAACGGGTACAAGTATGGTCAAGTATGCGTGCTGAGAAATACCCATGGTGTTTCAGGGCTGGGCAAGAAAAAACATATACAGGAGACAGAAATAACAGAGGTGGCACTGAGACGTCCAGCCCGGGAGTAACAGTGCTGCCCACTGAGCCTCCTCTCCATCCTGCTTTTGACACTGAGAACTTTGTCTTCAATAATTACTTAAGGCAGGTTCAGCACCTGACACACAAGATATTTACACCTTTGGCAGGTCTCTCATGCTTCGAAAATGATGGCGATCCAGAAGCTTCTTACAGGAAGACATCTGAATAAGGGCCTGGGATAAATCAGAGCGAGGCGTGGGAGTAGTCCGAGGTGACAATTTATAGAAGCACATTCCTAATTGACATCACATTCTCGCTAGATGTTAAAGCTGGAATGTCACGTGGAAACAATATGAGCATTTCTTTAAATTCACACTAATCCTGCTCCCCCCTCAGCCTGTCTGCCTGGGCATTGAGCTTGACGGGAATAAATCTCTGAGCCACTTTTAGACAGCAGAGATGTCTGTCTAAGCTGGCAGCCCTGGGGGAACAGCAGAGCGTTCCAGACTTGCAGGGGCGCAGAGGGGAATTTGGCCGCCGCCCAGCGGCATTCAGACGCCCGGACACAGCCTCCTAGTTAAGTACAGCCCGGACACAGCAGCGGCCCTCAGTCTCCCAGAATGCACTTGTCCCATCCTGCCCCGCCCACTTCTGTCCTCATCACCCCCTCTGCCCACCTTCTTCCTCATCACCCCCTCTGCCCACCCTTCGTTGACGGACATGCGGATTCCACGGAAATCAGGACAGCCGAGAGCACTCTCAGCAAGACCTCGCTCATTCCTGTGGCTGTGAATCAAATGGTGCTGAGGGGCGGTGCACGACCCTGTAGGTTAGGCCTCGGTGCCCGTGATCAGCGGGCTGTTGGTTCAAATCCCGTGGCCTGCAGAGTGATGTCACCATTGGCCCCTTGAGTAAGGCTCTCCAAGGACTTGCTGACCCTACTTTCTCAATTGTATCTCGCTTTGTATAAAAGCATCTGCTGAATACATGTGAATAAGCTAAAAATTCTGTGCAAAAAAGCCCGGCTGTGGATGGAAGCCGCAAGAGCTTCCTGCTTCAGTGTGATGCTTCACACTGTGGCTGAGGTGTCTGCATCAGCACTGCCCCTCACCTGGTGAGGAAGGAAGACCCCTGCCTGCATCTCAGCAGCCCCTCCCCTGGTGCCATATGCGCACCCAGTGTCAATCTTTGAAGCTGCTGAAATGGATAAAACTCTGCTGGAGTTTCAGAGGCCTGGACTTTGGAGATGAGAGAGGTGGCCCAATAGGACATCAGTCATATTTCTTCCCCAGAGCCCCAACGCAGGCTTGTGGAACAACCTCTGTGTCGGCAGAGCCCCGACATGCCATGCATTACCTGGCCATAAATAATGCATTAAAGTTCCTAACAAAGAGAGTAGGATACAGAGGAAGAGCGCTGTCGATGCGGTTACACCCTGCAGTGACTCGTCTTCCAGCGCGCTGTCATGTGAGACCTGATCTGTAACACATCAGAGAACCAGCCACTTTGCGTGTGCATGCTCCTCTGCGAAATGCCACGTGTTACTGGAAGGAAGCAGCTCTGTGATTATTTATTAAAGAGCGTTTGTTCCATTACTGTGCCCCGGGACACAAACACTCACAGAAGGCACCCCGCCACGTAACAAGCCAGCAGAGTCGGCATAAAATTCTGCCAGAGGCTAAAATTAGCAAGCCAAAAAAAAAAAAACAAATACCTTTCCCAAAGGCAAATGTTTGTACTTGTGGCTAGTCTTTTAGACTATAAAAGGTGTGCAGTGTTTCGGGAAATTAAGCTTTTTTAACACCAGATTAAGAAAAGGGAGACAAGAAGGAGAGTGTGATCGGGAGTGAGACGTCAGGGTGGCAGAGACAGCTCAGCGCACTTTCAAATAAAGCAGGATTAGAGCGAAACACATCAGTAATGAGCTATTTAACTGTAATTAAAGAAATTGACAGGCTAACAGTAATCTAACACTATTGTGTTGCTTGTAATCAGCTCCATTTTTTGGAGGAAGTTTCTCTTTTTATTTGTAACCATCTTTTTAATATTAGCCCATGACTTAGTTAATTACCTGGAGCTGAGAGGGAGCCAAAAACGTGGACTGCTTGGGAGGGAGCAAAAACATAGACTGTCTGGGAGGGAGCAAAAACATAGACTGTCTGGGAGGGAGCAAAAACATAGACTGTCTGGGNTGGGAGGGAGCAAAAACATAGACTGTCTGGGAGGGAGCAAAAACATAGACTGTCTGGGAGGGAGCAAAAACATAGACTGTCTGGGGGTTACTAAGGATCAGGTTGGGAAACAACGACTTGGGCAGCGTTTCCCAATTTGGTCCTCGGGGATCCAGGGACAGTCCATGTTTTTGCTCCCTCCCAGTGCCAAGCAAAAATGTGGATTGTCTGATAGGGAGCACGGAGGGAGCAAAAACATGGACTTACTGTGGGCCCCCGAGGACCAATTTGGAAACACTGACTTAGAGCATTTCTTAAGCCATTTTTAAGGCTTTTCCATACCGCTTACTCAGCATAGGGTTTTGGTGTACACAGGGTACAAAACAGGGGACACCTTGGATGGGATGCTAGTCCATCACGAGACACAAACCCACACAAAATGTGAGTCATTTAGAGATTCTAACTGACCTGACTGCATTCCTTTGGTGTACCCTGACCCCCACAAACCTGGGGGGGGCAGGGACAGGAAGTCAAATCCACAACTCTGGAAGTGTGAGGTGACATTGCTGCCCAGGGCACCGCCACACTGCCCTACTGTAATTGATAAAGTGATGCATTTCTTGAATTGTGCAATTACTGTACTGTCAATAAAGCCCGATCATTTGATTACAATCATTGAATAGTTAACTGCACATCCATAACAATTTCAAGGAAGAAAAAAAAACTCCACAAAAAAAACAACTCAAAAATCAGACCTGAACCGTACTGTCCAGCTCTGCTGTGATTTTGCTTAAAGGACATACAATACTCTCTGAGTGGATTCAATGGGGCAGAGCTGGGGGTGTACATCGGTTATATGAGCCTGTTGTGCTCTAAGCAGCTCCTCTCAGAAGGGAACGGGAAGAAAAGGTCCACACTGTGTGAATTCAGCGCTGTCTAACTCTTTTGGTCTAAAGATACTGACTGCGGTCAAAAGAAAAGACGGATTAGACGCATTAGGATGTCGATAACGTTTAAGGGGAGCGCGGACGGGTAAATGGGGACATGAAACATCCAGACGGACGTGGATTGCTTTCGTGCTGCGAGAGGTAAACGCTACTGGCGTGAACGGCACACGCTCCGCGGACCAGCGAGAGGCAGGTGGGGCAGCCTACACCCACATAAATCCATGCACATAAAGACAGATGGAGGCTGGCAAGGCGAAACAGAGAGGACGGTGGATGTTGTCGGAGATCCTGCACGGCGTCAGACAGATATACCGGGAACAGATAAATGATGGGACCAGAGAGGTAAAAACCTTGCAATTAACGGCGGAGGAGAGAGTTTGATATTGGGGGTGAGGGCTCAACTTAATAATTTAAATAAAAAGGTCCCCGAGGTTCCTTTGTCTCTGCGTGTAAGCAATATCAATACTTGTGGGACTGAGAGACAGATGAACTCCATCCAGTTTGCCGAAACTGAATCGCCAAGCAGAAAAACGGAACGCGATACTTCTAAAGAACTTTTAAAGATTTGTATACACAATACATTACATAGGCCTGTGCAACAGTATGCTATATATTACATACGTGGTTGTTTAAACAATTTTACCAGAATGCGTGCATCGGATCATATCTTGATAACCTTAGAAGAGGTATTAGTTTATGAAATACATCGTGCATGAGTTACGGTACGGATCGGTTTTAACCGCCCACGCTCAGCGACTGACAACAAACTTGTTTCACCTGCCGGACAAAACGCGGCGGAAGGTCGCAGCCATCGATCAGAACGATTGATATGAAAATCTGAAAGGTCCGTCTGTCGCCTGAAATAAGCCCCGCTGCACGGCTTTCCTCTCCTGGCCTGATAGTGCGTTTCTCCGTCACTGGCCTTAATTACACAACCGAGTTTTCCCACACAATGCACTCTAATTGACGGGAAATGTCAACCTGTTCCATTCGTAAGGCGGCAGGAAAAAATAACAGCAAAACGAAAGCATTATAGCCTAATTATAACACCCAGATGGCACCACTGACAACAGGAGGCTGTCATTCTCTAGGATAAAAATCGAAAAATCCGATGTTACATCAGATTTTGAAAAAGTACATGATGATAAATCACAAATGTATTAATGCCAAGTATATAATTTACATTGCTATCAGTTCCAATAATACAATAATACATTCTTATATTTAAATTATTCACAGTAGACACAAAAGAAACGGATTTCAATAAGCAATAATAATTAAAATTATAAAAACGTTTAATTGTGGTGCCAGCTTTTAAAAAATTTGCAGACAGTACTGAAAAATGTAAATACGAGCAAACACAGACTAATCAAACTTAGCCTACTGCTCATTTATCCAAACCCTCGAAACACAATTTCAAAACAGATTTAATATTTTCATTTACATATCTTTAAATATCTGAGTAACTACATTACAGTTTTAGCGCGTTAATTAATCTTTTGCCGAAACGCTTTCGATTTGCAGGATCATTTACAATATTGTTTTCGAGATCAGAAGGGGTGGATAACGAACACCCCTAAATGTCGTCATTGAGCCTGATAGTAATGTGTTTCTGAGGACAATGGACTCATACCCGTGCCTGTCATCACGTACAATTGTTGTTCTATGGGGGGAATAAATTAGGGCGAAATATGCATATTATATTTAATAATAGGAATAACTCACGCGTTGCCTACGTAAATCCTGGGGAAGACCTCGTGAAAATGTTTCGTGGGGAGGCTGTAATATCCGTTGCCGTCTGACAGCAGCTCGTTGAGTTGCTGTACTGAGACCTCGTAGTTTGACACGCCGACTTCAGCTGGAGCCGGAGACTGAGCCGGTGCTGCCGTCTTGTGCGGGCTCTTCCTCATGCTTCCAGACGGTCGGTCCAGCTGGGTGGGGCGCAAGGGAGTCTGGCTATTGTGGGAGGAAGGACAGCATCCGATCCTGCCGCATCGCTGTCTCTGAGCCGATCCTTCTGTCGTGTGTATACAGTGTGCGGATCGCACAATCGCTCTCTGGGCAGACACACCTCCCTCCACCCCGCCCAGACGCGCCCCCAAGCAGACAGCCGCTCAAGATAGAAAACTGTCTGAGGACTATGAGGCGCCGCGTAGGACATAATTCATAGTGCGGCTCGCACACGTACAGGCGAACCGCACATGGTTTTTCTAAATCTCGGTAGATGCTTACTTACCATCTGTAGGACGTTCGGCAGAAAGGCTAGATGTTGCAGAAACACAGAGGATTTCTGTGCAGCTATATGTTACGTACACTGCCAATATATCAAAAACTGACTAAAGCGTTAAATAGCAAACATGGAAAAGTACTTAAGATCACTTCCCTCATGGTTTTTCTCATAGGGCTTTCTGATTTTCACTTATACTGATTTACACTCATCCATCCACCCATTTTCCATACCCACTTGTCCTGTGCAGGGTGGCTGGGGGTCCAGAGCCTATGTCACTGTTTCAGTATGGTGGTAAGCATATGGTGGGCATGGTGGGTTGTGTCAGGCAGCACTGCTGCCTGACACAGGGATGTCGGAGGGTATGGACACGCTGTCAGATTCAAGGAGACCAGCAGTTGACTGGGGCTCTTGAATACAGTACATAAAATTCTATTTAAAATCAGACAGGGAGGCCCAAGGTGATATTTTATCAGGGGTCTCAAGATTTCTAGAAATGCCCCTGTCCACACATCTGTAGGACTGAGGGTTTTATTGCACGTTCACTGTGAATTTGTGGAGTTCGCTCCCTCTGTTATACCCCTGTACTTTGGTTTCCTCCAAGACACACAGTTTGGCTAGTTGGTGTTGCTAAATTGCCAGTGGTGTGTGTTTCTTGTGATGGACTGGCAGCCCATCCAGCTTTACAGCAGCTCTGTGCTTCTGGGATTGGCTCCAGGTGACCTTGACCAGATGGATAACCTGCCTCCGACAGCCCTGTCATGTTCCTGTTTGGCCACTATATGTCGCTGCTGGCCATCCTGTGCCCCAGCTGTTTCCCATCCTTTGTGATGGGTTAATTGTTATGGTTCACACCTGCCCCTCATTACTCCTCAATATCTGTGTATATATGCCCTCACCAGCCTCCCTAGCTTGGTCATTTATGTTTGTTGTAGTGTGGTTTCCACTTACTGTATCTGCACTTGTAAAAATAAAACATCCTTTTTGGTTACAACCAAATGCCTGCTCATGGATCGTCATTCCCTCCTGTTTTATACCATAGTATGTGCCTCGTGATTCTGAAGCAGATATACAGCAGTTGTTACTTGTTGAATGATGTAATTGACCATAAATGAAACAAGTTTAGCAGGTAGATTAACCCAAAAAGGTATTCTGGGCTGCTAAGGCCAAAGACAGGGAAATAAAATTTATTTTCATGGGATTTTTGCAACAATGTTTTTATAGTTTATTTTCTGTTATTAACATTTTTGGTATACTAGTAGATGCTGGTTACAACATGCAGATGAATGATTACAATATTTTGGGAGAAGTCGTTAAAACACCCATATCATGGAGTAAAATTTCCAAAGTATTATATCATTAAAGATAGGCAGCATGTGGGTGAGTGGGCCAAACCTCTGTGCCTGTGATTGGTCGCTGGTTCAAGCCCAGCCTCACGAGAACAGCCACATCTGTGGGCACTTGAGCGAGGCCCTTAAGCCCCAGATCCATGGGCGCCGCTGCAGGTGGCTGCCCTTTGCTGCCAAGCTTGCTCTCACCTACATGTGTGTCTGTGTGTCATTGAGCACAACAGGGGTAGGCGATAAGGGGAATTTCCCCACAGGGATCAATAAAGCATTATTGTTATTATTATTATCAATGATTATGATACCTTATCAGTGTAAGGTTTAATTGTCATCCATGTGACTTACAATACAAAGAATATATGCTCACCGTAGGCCCCTGTTTTTCATGCAAAGTCGGTGAGTCAGTCAGGCAGCAGTTTCTATTGGATTTTTGTGTGGCGTGCAGTGGTGTTGCTTTTGGAGGGCCGTAACAGATGAGCTAGACCTCAGATGACTTACACTGAAGGAGGCAAGGCTGCGTTTAGATCAGAGGATCCCCAAAGTCACTGCAGGCATCCATATAACACAAACACAGCTGGATTTATTTCTTTAAACACTGCCAGAACAACGGGATGCACATAATGCATGTATTTTTCTGCAAAATAAACACACACTTAATTTGTCAAAAGCTTCCGCAAACATTTTTGCACATCAAAACATTACATCGCCTTTGAAAATATTTTTCATCAAACATTTTCAAAGCATCCATCTAGCTGCTTATCCATTATAAGGTCACAGAAAGCCTTTCCCAGAATGCACAGCGCAGAGGACAACAGTCCATCATCGGCCACAGGCAAACTGTGGGCAATTTATAATACATAAAAGCCTAAATGCATGTGTTTGGGCTGCATGTGGAAGCACATGCAACAAAGGAGAACGTGCAAATTCAACTGACAGAGCATGATTTAAACAAACCCTCTTGGAGGTTGGAAATGCTATTTTGGAATAATGATTACCTTCCCCCTGCACTGGTATTTTGAAGGGTTAAGTCCCCCTCCATCAACATAAATATAAAACCTGGCATCACGCTGCATGACATTCACTGAAGAAAGCAGTAAAGAAATCGTAGTCAAGGTCATTCAGCTTTCATCAGTAAGGTCACCACTCACCTACTCCATGGTGACAAATGGACTGTTCGCAGTCTGTTGCAATTCCATCATTTTATAAGTTTCTCTAAACAATTTCTTTTTAAATGCTAGCTGAGCGATGCCCTTTAAATATGTTGCCCCTCGCAGTGATTTTCACCTGGAATTCCTTCAGGTGAATTCCATAGACCCCAAACATCCCCTCCTCTTATCTCTCATGTGCATCTTTTAACACGCCATTTGACCTTGCAGTGCTGAATTAAATCTATTCCACAAAGACATCATTCTACAGCAGTGCACTACAGCTTATGCAGCAAGCTGTGGCTCAGCAGCAAATGCAACATAATAATACTAGTTTGTCAGTCCATAATTCATGCAACCTCCCTATTCTCCACATGAAAGATTGAACTTTATTTATTGATGCATTACTGTACAACTTCAGCTACAGATGAAAGGCAGTATGTTTACAATGAGGTCTGTGATTTGTGCTTAGACTCCATTTAAGATCATATGTCTCAGGTGCCATGAGTCACTCTGTGCTCTGGAGAAATTCCAGCCCTTTTCACCACAGAACGTTGTTCCAGCTGAAGGACACTCTTTTTATAAGTATGCCCTGGGGTTTAGGTCTGGACTAGACAAATGCGACAGGTTATTCACCCTGTCACGGACTTACTAATGTGTTTCAGTCCACTATTTACCAGTTGTGCTTCTGCTGCAGATCACGCATGGACGGCATGATGGCATCCTGTGCCCTGCTCTGATTATGGAGCACAGTTCAGGCTTCCTTCTGTGATGACAAGCTGTTCAACATTCTCCTGACAGTGCCGTTACAAACACTGACTCCCAAGGTGCGACAGGCCTGTGCAGTGCCTTCATCAACTGCAATTTAAGCGCTTTTCTTAGTCTTGACATTTATAATTGCATATCCACTGAGAAGGGGTGCAATATTGTATTTTGTCTTGGTTTTATTGACTGTGCAGGTTGGGCCAGTGCCTTTGGTTTTCCTGTAATTTTACAGTTTAAGAAAGGGAAAGAAAACATGGTATTTTATATTTAATCCCTTATGGAAAAGGAACATAAGGATTGTTATGTAATTTGAAATCTAATTATTAATTTGTAATACAATACAATTAAGTTGTATTCATTTTTTGGAAAATAGGAAAATATTCTATCAAAGTGAAGGCAAATGAATTGCCAAACGAAACAGCAAAATAGCTCTAAAATGCAAAAACATAAGACATTTTGGTGTAACTTCTGCATGCACACGTAAGCGCTGAATGCTTTGAAAAGGCAAACAGAACAGTGAAAAGCAAAGTAGATGCAGGGAACAGTCATTTGCTGCTCCTGTACTAAATGTACAACCTTACACAGGCCGTCCGCTGGCTATGCAGGGCTTGTTGCTGGTTGTGCAGGCCGTACTCTGGGTATGCAGGCCTTACGCTGGCTGTGCAGGCCTTACGCTGGCTGTGCAGGCCTTACGCTGGCTGTGCAGGCCTTACGCTGGCTATGCAGGCCGTACGCTGGCTATGCAGGCCGTACGCTGGCTGTGCAGGCCTTACGCTGGCTGTGCAGGCCGTACTCTGGGTATGCAGGCCTTACGCTGGCTATGCAGGTCGTACGCTGGCTACGCAGGCCGTATGCTTGCTACACAGGCCGTACACTAGCTGTGCAGGCCTTACGCTGACTGTGCAGGCCATACGCTGGCTGTGCAGGCCGTACACTGGCTGTACAGGAAGTACGCTGGCTGTGCAGGCCGTACGCTGGCTATGCAGGCCGTACGCTGGCTATGCAGGCCGTACGCTGGCTGTGCAGGCCTTACGCAGGCTATGCAGGCCGTACGCTGGCTGTGCAGGCCTTACGCAGGCTATGCAGGCCGTACGCTGGCTGTGCAGGCCGTACACTGGCTGTGCAGGCCGTACACTGGCTGTGCAGGAAGTACGCTGGCTGTGCAGGCCGTACGCTGGCTGTGCAGGCCGTACGCTGGCTGTGCAGGAAGTACGCTGGCTGTGCAGGCCGTACGCTGGCTGTGCAGGCCGTACGCTGGCTGTGCAGGCCGTACGCAGGCTATGCAGGCCGTACGCTGGCTATGCAGGCCATACACTGGCTACAAAACCTCTCTGGGGTGTTTTGACACCTCAGAAGTGCTTCTGAATTAAGAAAAGGAGTCTTATTATATGATGCTGAATTAAGCACTTTAAATATCATCCATGGTGGACTGTTGCTAGAATACATTAGTTAGATATTTAGAAACAGTATATTGTGACTATTTTTCCAAGCTTTGTTTAACCTATTTTCATTAAAAAAAATAATAATAATAAATAACATTGTGGTCTCCTACCTTGGGTGTGGGCAGAGGTGGATTAACAAGTTTGGGGGCCCTTTCCATAGGCCCCCCATCTGCCCCCACTCCCCACAATAATACTACAATTAACTATAAAACTACTAAATATTAGTAACTATAAAATAATTTCTACAAAGTCAAAGACAATGTAATGCTGTATCAAAGAAGAGCAATCAGATCATAAGATCAGCAAACCAGCAAGCTTACACTTTCACATCAGTCATATGCAGC